TAATCTTAAAAGTTTCTGAGATATGCAAGATGCAGGTAGCACAAAGCAGCAGGACTTTTTGCATATGGCTCACTTGAATCTTTCTTAGAAATTAGAGAAAGAATTTTTCTGCTTTGACCTTCCCAGACTTCTGTCTCTCTGACACTTGTTCATGAAGTCCCAGTAATTAGCAATTTACTCAAATATGCTTTGCTTATGAATATTATAAACCTTTTCCTGAATCTTAAGGGAGAATTGACATTCAATACAGGTGTTGGAGTAAGCACTGCAGGCCTTTGGCTTTCACTACTGTGGCCAGAAGAGGGTTCAGTAGCAACCTTTAGCACAGAGAAGCAGCTCTTGCTACCTTCTGTGTCCTAAGGTTTTACCTCTCTAAAAGGAGCAAGGATTTCCTCTGGGGATTAGGAGGAGATAAAAACCCAAGACAGAGCTGCTATTTCATTACATTACAAAGCACAAATGGATGAAAAAGACAGTGAGGGATTCTTTCCTTTTTCTCTTTTGGCAATTGATGCCTATTTAGCTGCTCTGAAGAGAAACAAGGTCCCTCTTTTTTACCCGGGTCTGTAAGGACACAGGCCATAGATGGACTTACAAACCTAACTGCTACTGGGAGCTGCAGAATTCTATATTTATATGGCACTGAGACTCTCACTATTTCTTCTCAGTCCATTCCTGCTTCTACAAGTGCACTGAGCAGGTCCTTGCTACAGGCACGGGAAAATCATATAACCCCAGTCACCAGCAGTCTCAGTACCCTCATTAAGGCCAATGTTCCATCTTAAACTAGATTTTCTTGCGCTGGTTTAGACTGTTGATACACCCAGAGGAATTTCACAACCAGCCCTCCTCAAAAGTTTGAAGGATGAGATTAGGCAAGGCATATGGATCCAAACCAAAGTTCCTGTTGCAGTGGACTTGTATGAATAGCCTAGAAACTCCCAGAGACCTCTAAACAGAACTATTAAACTATCCAAGAGCAACTCTTTTGACCCTGACACACCCCGATAGCTTTTTTCCACCTGTTCCATTAATTTTTGCTTCTGAACTGTGGGAAAATGAAGCAAGGCAAGACAAAGACCTTGACCTGATTGTGTAGCTTCATGGCAGGAAACATGTTAGTGAAAAAGAATTTTTCTGCTTTAAGTTTTATTTACAATTACACTGGTGGTACCTTGTCTAGAACTGCTGTCTTAAAAAGAAATAATTTAGAAAGGATGACACATTTTGTCTCATGTAAGGTGCCTCGGTGCTCACCAGTAAAATTTAACAATACCAATAAACAATCAAATTTTTTTTTTTCATATTATTAAGATGTTTAATTGTACGTGCAATATTAAGTTATAAATACACTCTATGACAGATAAAATAAAAGTAGCTTATCACTCACTGACTAGTTTAGAAACTCTCTTTTTCTGCTGGATTTAAAATTTCTGGTGAAATTGGTGAGGAGTGCATTCAGCACATCCTGTTAGCTGAGTCAATTGAAATTGCACCTGTTCTTGGATGCAAGTCATGACAAATGCAACCCATATACATTGTAAAGAAAAGGACTTGTATGCACTTTTTCCAATTAACATCTGCCTTTTGGCAAGTCATTAACCTATTTTCTCACAAAGAAACAGCTTCAATTGTATTATGCATCTGAAGCGTGCAAAAGTCCCTGAGGGGGTACTCTGACAAAAACAGACTGTTCCTGGATCCAGTGTGAACATACATATTCATTAATTGTTTGGGGCAATGAGTACAGAATTTCTGGTTTTTATAAGTCTTACAAGGTAAATAGGTTACATAAAGCTATGTCCCTGGAAATAGCCAAATCCTGGCTACTGTAGCTCAATAGAAATACCAAGAGTGATTTTGTGCTGTGATGTGGCAATGAAAATAATTCAGCAACACTGCAAAAAAACTTCTAGTAAGAAAGAATAAGATTGTTTACTCTAAAAATAGTGCAGCTTATTTATTTATTTAAATTGATATAAATAAAAATGGTAAGTTGTATTTTTCAAATCCCTCATGCTATATGGATCTGCCATCCTAAAATGGCAATGGGAACCTATTTAACTATCATTTTTCCCATAGAAGATTAATATAATCAACATTTCTTGATTTCTTACCATGAAAATGACAATGAAAAAGCTAATTATTATCTTACATGTGTAAAAGCAAGAAATAACAATCCCCTAAAGACAAGGGAATTGTTCAGATATGTTCACCTCCAGGAACTGGTTTTCCAAAACCCTAAATTTATCAAAAATATGTCAACAATAGCATAATGTGAATGCTGAAATAACAATTGGTAGCATTTCTTTCAATTTGGAAGAGTATTTTTTGTTTGAAATGTCTGCTGAAGAACATTGCAACGAGCTGCTGAGCTACTGCACAGCACTTTGACACTTGAGGAATTTGAAGTTGGGTTTCTCCAGAGACAGTCTCCCAGCAACAACTATTCCTGCCACCACCTTCTCTCTCTTGACACACAAACCTTGGGGATCTACAACATGTCATTCTTTTTAATAAGTAATTGAGCTATTTTTGCAGTAGCAGGCCTGAAAGCTGGAAGCAGTCTTTCTCCAACAGGGGGGCCCAGCTATATTTAGTGTCAGAGAGATAATTTAGCCTGAGAGAAACTGTACTGCATCAGGTACATTGTTGAGCTTGTTTAGAACAAGTATAGGCTATCAGTACTTCAATGCAGTCTCCAATACATTGATAATTTTCATAATTTAAAGATCCACGCAATTATTTTTTCACAAAAAAGCAAAAGCACAACTAAGACTAAACAGCAATCATTTTCCTCTAGTTTTGTAATTCAAATTAGTCAAGTCACCAGTTATTTGACAGAGTATAAACCCTAGAGTAAACGCTTCTGAGAGTTTAACAGACTTGGCAGGTGCTTTTAAAGGAAGTATTTCCATTCCATAACTTAATTAGAAATTAAATGGATCAAGAGAATAAGATAACTTGCCCACATCAATGCTTTTTGAAAAGAAACATCATGGTACATGGTTGTGGCTGTGTTTTAGGAGAGTCATCACAGCCTAAGGAAAATACATCCAGTCTATTTTCAACCAACCATGACCAGACATCCTTCCAAGTGTCATCATGCTGAGTTTCAGTATCAACAGACCACCCGACAGAATGAGAATAACATGTCTCAATTTGGGAATGTTACGTTGGTTCACCAGACTCACAAACAACAGAGGAATAAACTGGATTAAGTAGTAAATGTTCCAGATAATAGGTACTGCTGAAAAGGAAGAGGGATTAGTGATAGGAGCTAAGGCAGACAGGAGAATTTCAGCAGAGATTTTCTTAAAAAAATATGGAAGTAAAAGAAATATCCAAATCTTATTGATAAATAATCCTGAAAAAACTTCAAAGAAAAATCTGCAGATTTAAGACATATATATGTATATGTAGTCTACCAAGAGAGAAACAAGAAATGAGCTCAAATTTTAATAGCAAGATGGTTTTGTGTCTCCTAATGGAGACAAGAAAAGGCAAAGACCACAAGAGTATTTGCAAATTCATAAAATGAAGTACATTTGATCTAAAAGACAGCATTTACATAACTGTGTGTTATATAGTAGTATAAACAATTACATAATCAAAGGTCAGGGTGGAATAAATAAGACCATCCTTTGACAAAAAAAATCTGTGGTTAGGATACTGCCTAAAAACAGTTGCATCCAAAAATTTTATAAGAGACTGCTTCTTTGACATAACCAGTAGTGCTCAAGACTGAGCTGCAAATATAGAGTACCTATTGGTAAAAATCAGAGTTAACCAAGGAAGTGAGGTGAAGTCTGGCTATTTGAAGGTGGCTGCTGAGAGAGAAAATAAGTTATAGAAGAAAAATTGACTGCACGTTTCTGTGGCTTGAACTGCAGTCATATTTGCACAGTGAGCTTGTTTACTAAAGTTGAACTCTGTTGATGTTAATGAGGTTCAGCCTGGGAAATGGGCTTTATCTATATACAGTCAGTTGCAGAATTGGATTAAAATGCTCCCCCATTTCAAGTGTCCTATTTTTCAACAGACATATAAAGTTACAGAAACAGATGATTACCTAGTTTTGACTGTGGATTTACAACAGGTGTTCTGCAATTGTCATTAAAAAAAATAACAGATAGACATAAAGTAAGTATTTTTCATTAAAAAAAATAAGACCTAAAATTACCTAAGAATTGCATTTTTATTAAAAATAAAACCCAAATCATCATACACTGGAGTTTTTCCTGACTTATGTCTGCATTCACAATACATTATCTGATGGGGTACATTCATAGCATGCAAAGCTTGAGCACATGTGGACGTTCTCTTAGGATAAGAATCTTTTGTATTTATGACCTAGATTTTCCATTGTTTTGTGTTTGGTTCAAATATATTCTTCAGAAGTATAAAGCTGATTTATGTTTTTGTAAATATGAAAGGTGAATTTTGATGTGGATGAGATAAGCAGAAGTGTTCAAATACATCAGTTTTGCAGCTGAATACACATAGATGCAATTATAGCTTCAAAGTTTAAGTGACTTCTTTTAGTAACAAATACAAAAATTAAGTTTTCATACTAGATCTTCTTATAATCATTACTAAAATGTTTAGAAGATATAGAGTAACTCACTACTTTTTAGTAAAACACTTGAGCATATGTAAGGGACAAAGAACACCTCTGGCATTTTTGGTATTATGTCTCATTTTATTTAGGTGTTTAAGTAATGTTGTCTTAGCCAAAGAACATTATTTTCACAATCCTTGCCTGAGTTTAAAAATCTGGACAGTGATAACCTTCACAATAACTGCTGTTCATCTAAAAATACATAGTTAGTGGCTTAGTTATATTCAAAAATCTTGTTAGGTCCTGTAATGTTCAATGGAAATGATTTAGAAAATACTGGTTTTGATTGGGCTACACTTCATTGAATAGATAACCAGAATATCTGATTGCTACCAACGGTTGAAACATTTTTTTGAAAATTTCTTACATTTTTATTACTTTGATTTGAAGTTTCTGCTCATAGCAAAATCCAGTGAAAAAGCATTTTTTGTGATTTTATGAAACATAGTCCTCAATATAGTTCATTTTCATATTTTATTAGTTCTGTTTTCTCGTAACATTTCCTGCTGATCTTTTATGCATTCTTTCAATTTATCTTCAGTATTAGTAAGACGTTGTTCCAGGACTGAAACAGTCTGCATGAAGAAGAGAATAATTTCAGTTGGGTTTGAATGACCCACACAGTATTAAAGAAGTGTGCAACACAGTAATATAAGAAAAGTAATTTGAACTCAACAGGAAAAAAACACTATAAGATGGCTTCTCCTTAGCTATTCCACTATTCACAACTGTATTTAGAAATTATGGCTTCGTCTCCATGGAGATTGTCGAAAGATTTTTATTTTCACAAAACATTATCACTGGGAAAATGCATAAATGCAAAATATAAAGTACTCTGAAATACTATGTGCAAGTTGCATCCATATTTCAAAAAAAACCAGCCATCACTGTGACCACAAATGATGTTTTTCAAAAACCTAAAAGAAACTTTTAAGACATCCACAAGAAAAGGAATTGACAAAAAAAAAAACCTATTAAAAGTCACTAATTCTCTAAGAGATTATCTTCATCAGAAAAAGTAGGTTTTTGGACCCAGGCTGGCAGTTTATTTTCCATCCAACTTACTACACTAATAATTATATATAAATATAGACATTGAATATACAATTAAATATGTATATTTTTTATACATATAAAAAGAAGTATCTTAAAACATTGGCACTAGGACTTACTGCACTGCTTGGATTCCTACCTAAGCCAACACCTCACACACTAAGTTTGGAAAGGGATTTAATGGTACATTGCAATTTACTTTGTTCATCCCCTGCTAGTGTGCGATTGTTCCAGCTGGAATGTCTGCTAAAGAACTGGCTTCTGACAAAACTAGCCTAGATCTCACTACTGAAAAACAGCAATTCTCTTCACCCAGAGTTAAAAATACAGCAACAATCTTTATGCTTATGTACCAGGAAGCTTTCACTTTAGCAAACACAATACATGCAATCAATATTTTCTGAAAGGAAAACACCAAAACAGTGACTTGACTATAGAGCTATTCAAAATAACCCCATAGTCTTTAATGTTCTGATTTATGAATATGACTCCAGGGTGTTGCTGCCCTTTGATAGCACTGTCATTTTGCACTGCAAGTATCACCTGTTATTGTATACTTACTAAAGTTAACAAATGCAGCTGCCCCACAATGTGGTCCAAAACCCTGCCCACGGAGGAGGAGATGCCTCTTTGCTGTTCCACATTATGCACAGCTGACCCACTCTCATTCTCTGCCTTCCTTTTTGAACTTCTTGCTGAGGGAGAAGCAGAGGGACTCCTCAGTTCTTCACTTCTGCCAGTAACCTTGAATACAGAAATATCATTTGAAGATTCAGCTGCCTTTGTCTTATTTCAGCATTTTAAAAAAAGTAGTTTTTAGTTGTTTGTTCAGTGATGGGACTTTTTGAAAAATTGGTTTCTTCACAAAATGGGAGAAGGAAACAACAGAAAAGATCCACACAATGCAATGTTGAGAGAAATAACTCTGATGTATAAACATTTCTTCAGGCTACATGAGAGAGCATAATCTTCCCCACCAATTTGGTTTTGTCTGTGCCTTGAAGTTCTTAAAGGTATTTTTGAGTAATAAAAGGTTAAATCACCACTTGTGGAGACCTTGAAAGGCACTCCCAATTAGAAAGATGTGAGAGGCCTCTCTCTCAGCTGTCTCCTTTCGATAACAATTCCTGTTTTATCAGGTCAGAACAATCATTGTCTTGTTCCTTGGGTCTGCCCTGTGCCCTCTCTCTGTCCGTCAGCCTTTCCATCACTCTCACCCCGTTTCCTTGTTAGCCCCCATGCCCTAATCCCATCCTTGTAACACCCCCATGCCCCCTAGTAATTGGTATCTGATACTACTTCCCCTGCCCCAAAACCCCCATGTACTTAACCTGGACTCTCAGACCAACCCTTTTGCCTTTGCCTCTGAACTCCAGGACTGTGCACACGCGTGGCTGAAATAAACATCTCTGTAAAACCCCTGCAAAGGCCCTTCCTGCTTCTTCACCTCAACAACTACCCCAACATCAACAACCACTAACTAATTAGAAAGTCCTTCACAACAACTTTACTTGATTAATTAATGACTTACTGAAATTTCTTTGAGAACTTCTTATATCTTCAGACAACTTTAGTTTACTTTTACAGTAAAATAAATTGCGGTAGTTAGGTTTTACTATTTCTAATTATATTTGATATAGCTACATTTACAAAATAAACCTTCTAAATGGTTACAATTAAACAATTTCTCTGGAATTTATTGACAGCCCATGAAAATACCCATTAGCTATGCAAAGGGGAAATTTTAGTCTCATGTGATGTATTTAAAATACACAATATTTACAATGTTCCAAAAATATTTATGTTGTAAGACTGAAGAGATTTTCAAAAGAGAGAATAATAAAAGCATTGTCAAACATTAAAAAAAGAAGAATCTCCTAAATCTCTAAAATAATCCTGTAGAATGTAAATTGCCAGGCAGAATTATTGGCAGACTTTTACAAGATTACCTAGGCATGTTGATGAGTTTCTGTCAAGAACGATTTACACGTAGTTGATCCTGCCTTTGAATCACATAGGATCAGAGACTGATGGATTAAATACTATCACTATGATAGTGTAACTATTTTAAATTTAAGAAATACTAAATCATATCGATATTACTATGAACTTATTCTGCTGCATTATCCACAATAACATTCCTGTGTCCTCAGTGCCATCCTGCACAGTCCTGTGTGGTGGGAAATGGCTGAAAGCAGAGACTGTGGTGAGGTAAGAGAGCAAAGAAGAAAGTCTTACAACTCTCTCTGGGTTAAAAGTTCCATTGTGCAGTTACATTCTGCAAGGACAGGTCTCAAGCCCCCAGGCAAGAACCCACGAAGTGCAGAGCATGACATTAGTAGAGACAGGGGCAGATATCCAGGCATGTACTTCAGACCTTAACTGACAATGCTATGAGACCAGAGGGAGCCCATCTCGAGGTTTGATAGTACCATGGTACTATCTCATGGTATTGACTGACATCACTTTCATTGATTTCTTTATGAGCAAAGAAACATAAATTCACAGCAAGATACTTCCAGTTTCCTTTCAGCCCTCCTTTCTGTGCTTGGTGACTGACTTAGGCAAATGAACCAGGCATGTCAAATAATTAATGGCTGATGCAACTAATACTGAAATCTATCAGTGATGCATATTGATACCAGGATATGGCAAAAATAAAACTGTGCTAGACATCAAACTAAAGATTTCAAACATTAAACATACAAAGTTATAACATTTACACTGGACTAAGAGAACTGGCCTTCTCCATTCAAGTCTACTTAAACTCATGAATCATGGAGCAACGCTTTGTCACCCAGGCTGTTGTCTTTAAATGCACAAAACTGGAAGAAAGGGTACTCTCTCCAGCTATGCTGCTCAAGTTATGCTACTGAGAAAGCTTTAGTTCAGTGGTTAGAATGCCTAGCCAGGAGCAGATAAGTTCTATTCCCATGAGAGGCTTTATATTTTATATAGAAGAGAATAAAATGAATTAAAAATCCAAAAGAGAAAGGATACGAACCCAGAACTTTCCCACTCCTAACTAGATAGTTTAATTACATCTCTCTCTCCAATGCCATAAATTTAATTTTCTTCTCAACATGAAAAAAATCTGTTATGTCAACTTCAAATTATTCCAAAAAGTTGCATATTGTAAAAGAGTGACTTGTTAGCACAAAATGAAATAGAATACAAATATTGGGTTTTGGACAAGATAGGCAGAATATTCATTTCCCATTTAATTTTGCTTTGCTTCAGCTCCTTGCTTTAAAGTTTTAGAAGTCTTCAAAAGAAAGCACTTCAAGTATCTTGGAATATTTTGGCTCTCAATGTATCCCACGTACTTCTACATGAACATGTAAGTATATGTGGGATTGTTGTATCTGAAGACTGTTCATGTTTTCCCTTTACAAAGATTTTGTGATATGATATAATGATAACACAGTCCTAGAAGAACTCATATTCACTGTGTTTTTTCCAAATTATGAAGATATATCTAGGGTTCTTGGGAAACAGTATTAATGGAAGGCTTTGGCATGTTTACTAAATCACAAAATTAATATAGTCTCAAATGGTGATTTACATGAGAAAGATTAAGTTCAATTTGGCATTCAAATGTTAAAGACAAAATATTGCCATGCATTAAAGAATTCCTGCCTTACAACCAATCACACCATGAAGAACACTCTTGTACTTAACTACAATACGTGAGTCTGTTAGAATAGACTTCTCAGTGATATTTCTAGAAAAACAGGAAGATAGGAAGCTTACAGAAACCTTGCTTTTGTCTGTAAATCTTGGCTGCTCAGAAGATTTCAAACCTCAACCAGGATTAGCTAAATTTGACAGACAGAACTCAAATTTTAGGAAAACTGGAGGCCTGATAGATGAAATACATTGCAGGAAAACCAGGCAGAGCCCAAGCATTATATACTCTGCATGGCAGCAATAAACCTGCCCAGTTATCATATGCCTAAAGAAACACGGGCAACTGATACAGGAAATTAAAAGCATCAGTGAAAAACACTCGGTGCAGGGACATTTATAAATCTTAGGCAACTGTATTTTGTAGACACCTATATGTCTTCTCTGAAAATTATAGCATCTATTTCTGATTTTAATCGAATCAAAGGAGGAGTAGGGCTCTTAGAAGTAATTCAGTTCCTGAAAGCTCTTTGCCAGAACTTCTCACCTCAGGTTAACACAGCTCTGCAAGCTCACACTCCTTAACTCTGAAGGAAATAAAGTGTAAGACCTGGGCTGGAACCCAGGTTTTCCCAGCTACCAGTACCAATAAGGTAACTGTAAATAAACTTAGCATTGTTTGACTAACGTTCACAAATCTACTTGTATTAATGTTCTGGGAAGGACATTCATTTTCTTGCCTTTGAATGATAAAAGCAACTAAGTGGCACAGACAGAACCGAGTAACTGTAAACTCTGATACTCTCTGACTTTGCTTAAAGGCATTTTGCTTTGCAAGTTCAATGTCCCAAGGATAATCTATTAATCTTCCAATACTCAAAATTAACAAAAAATAGATTTAACATTAAATGACACTCAAAAATTGATGTCTGTGATTTACGATAATTTAAAATTATTTTAGATGAATAGAGCAGGAGAGGAAAACAATCTGAGGTTATTAGACATTGCTAAGTTCTAAGAACAGTTCTACTCTGAGGTTGGTGTTTCTGTTTCTTTTCAAACAATATTACTGCACTTCACACTGAAAATTGATTAGAAATTTCAGTTTAAGCTCCCACAAAGTGATTACAAATTTTGCTCTTAAACCCAGCCTATACAGATTCTTTCAAAACAAGGAGGAAAGCTGTCAATTCAGTAAAGAGAGCAAATGCTAAGCTACTAAAAGTCTCACCACTTTTTTCTTACAGTAAAATTGATCCAAAGTTCAATATAGCATACAAACAGGCCGTGAAAGAATGGTTTATATCTCAGTGAACTGCCACCAGCATTGCAAGTCAGAGTAATGGAAAAGTCTTCTTGCAATTTACTGGGTTAGGCAGCAAACTGAGATTTTTCTGTTCCATATTCGAAGACCTAGAAGCACAATACAACATGAAAGCATTTACAGAAGTAAGACAAAAACCTTGATGTTTGTCAAAATTCAGAGATAAGCAAATAACTGAACTTTCAAAATTTGTAAGAGAAACTAAACGAGACCATTTCAAATTTTCAGCTTATCTAACTTGGTTAGATAACTTGTCCAAAATGGTTATTTTTAACATATTCTTGAAATTTGTAGGGATTTTTAACACTGTCAGACATCAGGTATGTTCCTATGACTTTAAGGTTATCTGCTTTATATTTTAACCTTTCCTAATATCTAATTTTACAATCTCCTCCAGCTCAGCAAAGCATCCAAAACTGCTGAAATCTAACATAACACTCAAATGCCAAAACCTTGCTGTAAAGGAGTGACATTAGTCTCAATAAATTTCCTTTACTTTTGGATACCAGCCAGTTCATGTCCAACACTTTCATTCAGCATAACATTTTATTTTAAATGAAGTTCTTTTAAAATAGTCTTTCTACTCACAGTCCATTTCACATGAAATGTTTCAAGAATTAAATGTTGTCTTTCCTTCAAATTAGCCCCTTTCTAAAGTACTTGAAATGCTACCAATTCATAAACAATTCTATATGTCACCAGCAATGTAGTAAAAATGTCTCATAATTCAAAAATACCCAAACTATTCTGAGTCTCATCAGAGCTATAGCTTATTTTGAGAGAATAAATTTTA